TAGAGGCCACTTCTGGCCATTGATGTGGAAATGGAGTCCCCTTGAACCTGGAGGCCACTTGTGGCCATTGGTACAGAAATGGAGCCCCCTTGAACCTGGAGGCCACTTGTGGCCGTTATCAGGCCACATCGGTTGCCCAGAATGTATCAAATGTTGATTCCTGATCATTTTTGTTCTAGCTATCAGATCTGTGATGTCTCTTTGGACCGTTGCGTGGCCAAAACAAACTCTGGCCGCTCGGCTTGGGCAACCAGGTCACCTCTTAAACACCTCGGCGGGCGCTCAGACCTTCACGGAACGTTCCCAGGCACTTATTTTGGGTGAGTAAAATCCTGTTTTCACCTTCTTGGTGGCCAGTTGGACCGTGACGTGAATACGTGACGATGCTCTGTGGTTCTTTTGGGCAGCAGAGCCCTGTTTTACTCTCGGTGGACCGCTGTGTGAACCCCAAACGACCCAATTGTGAACCCCAAACGACAGCGGGCTCCTATTTTGAGGCAGCAAGTCTTGCTTTAGCCTTCTTGGGGGGTTTCTCAGCCCCACATGGTGTGACTGAAGCATCACTGGGTCCCCGTTTTGGTCCCTGCGCTGCCTGGTACTCACCTGGCACAGCCACCCCGTAGACGTTGACCTCTTGGATGAAATCCACCATGGCCAGTGTGGCCTCCACTTCTGTCGTGGCCACGTTCTCACCTTTCCAGCTACGGAAGCAAAAGGGATTGAAGCTGTGAGGAGGAAATTTGGGCTGGGAAATGGCATTTGCCCACAGGTGGCAGAAGGAATTACCGGAAGGTGTCCCCGACGCGGTCCTGGAAATAGAGGAATCTTTCGCGGTCCATCACGAGGAGGTCGCCGCTGTTGAAGAAGGCATCGCCTTTCACAAAGACGTCCCTCAAAATCTTCTTTTCTGTCTTCTGGGAATCGCCCGCGTAGCCGTGGAAAGGGGTGTTGGAGGTGATTTTGATGACCAGCAGCCCCGTCTCACCTTGAGGGAGAGGAAAGGAGGATTTGGGGCCAGGCAGCACTTGCCTCGGTGCTGGAGGACGTCGTATCTGCGCCCTGTAAGCAATGCTGCTCTTTGGTGCTTTTCTGGTGGCTCCCTTTGTCACCAAGGCTCTTCTTACCGGGGCGGACGCGGATGCAGAATCCATCTTGGTTGCGTACAGGTTCATCCTGCTCCACGTTGTACCTGATCAGCTCAAAGCCAGTGAAAACCTGGAGGGCAGAGGAGAGACGGAGAGGAGTCTGAGTGAAAAGAGAAAAGCAGGATGCAGAAATGAGCAGCAGAACGTCTCTGCTTCCAGCCCAGCTCCTCCGTTTGCTCGTTAAAACTCAGCCCCCTCCCTCCCTCCCTCCATCCAGTCCCAAAATCTTACGTAGTTTTGTTATTAAATCTGAAACAACGGCCTTTTAAATGAGGTTTAATCAAATATATTCGGCTTCACCAAGCTCGTCCACTGCACCTTTTGAAATCAAATCGCTGTGGGAGAGCGCTGAGACCTGGAACCATGGGAAAAGAGTGGAAAGTCCCGTTTTTGTAGCTTTTTGCTCAACGGACCGGTGGATAGAGACCAAGAGTTGACACCAGGATGTCCTGCGTTCGGGCTACGGAGGTGCCCACGTTCTCACAGGCACTCCAGAAACTCGGGCTCAGTGCTGTTGAGTCAACATTTGCCTAATCTTAATCCTTTCCTAATTTTAGGAGGAGGGTTTTCACCCAGAGGGTGGTGAAGCACTGGAGCAGGTTGCCCAAGGAGGTGGTGGGTGCCACAAGGAGGCATTCGAGGCCAGGCTGGATGCGGCTCTGGGCAGCAAGATTGGCGACCCTGCACACAGCAGGGGGTTGAAACGAGGTGAGCGCCGCGGTGCTTTTCAACCCGGGCCATTCTGGGATTCATCAGGACAAAAGTCTCCTTTTGGAGGTCAAGATTGGACCTTGGAGATCCTGCTTTTGAGTCAACCTAACCTGATGGATCAGGATTGTTTGGTCAGCTTGGTCATCGTAAGGAGGGCACCCTGGAAACCCGACTTGTAGGACAAGTTCCTTGGAGGAAACCTGACTTGTAGGATGAGTTCCTTGGAGGAAACCTGACTTGTAGGACGAGTTCCTTGGAGGAAACCTGACTTGTAGGACGAGTTCCTTGGAGGAAACCTGACTTGTAGGATGAGTTCCTTGGAGGAAACCCGACTTGTAGGATGAGTTCCTTGGAGGAAACCCGACTTGTAGGATGAGTTCCTTGGAGGAAACCTGACTTGTAGGATGAGTTCCTTGGAGGAAACCCGACTTTTAGGACAAGTTCCTTGGAGGAAACCTGACTTGTAGGACGATCTTAGCTGCCCCAGATTGGCCGCTACAAGAAGGGCAACGCTGAAGCCCCCACTCTTGCACCAACCCAACTCAAGGGAGCGCGTTGGCACCCCCCGGTGACCAGCATTGGTCCCTGCCGTCGCCGGCTCACCTTGAGGAACACGTTGGCCCTTCCCACGGCCCCGATCTTGCCGGTGTAGTTGATGAAGCCAGCGTTGCCTTCGGTGGCCCCGTAGAATTCGCTGATGGAGACGGGGCCGAAGCGCTGCAGGAACTCCTTCCACACCGCCGCCCTCATGCCGTTGCCTATGGCCAAACGCACGCCGTGCTCCCGGTCGTTGGCCCGCTGCGAAGGAAAGGAACATCTCAGCATCTGCCCCCACGCCCTCGAGTTCCCCCCCCGGGTGAATTCGGCAGGGCTTTACCTTGGGGGAGTTGCAGAGGTAGCGCATGAGCTCCCCCACGTACTGGATGACGGTGACGTTGTAGCGGCGGCAGTCGTCCCAAAACTGGGAGGCGGAGAATTTGGCTCGCAGGGCGCAGGTGGCTCCTGTGGGAACACGGGGAGGTGGCTGTTCCCTTTTTTCTCTCTTTTTCCTTTTACCTTTTCCTTCATCCGTCCATTTCCGTGTCTGCTCTTCCATCTGCTCGCTCCCATGCTGGGGCAGTTGGGACTCCATGATCTTTAAGGTCTTGCCCAACCCGAGCGATTCTGTGTCCACCTGACATCTACGGTCTCTCATTTTCTGTCGCCTTTTGCATTCCTCTTTCATTTTCCATTCTGTTTTTTTCCTTTTTCTGGTCATCTGTCTGCCAATCCATCCCTCACTGCTCCCTGTATCCCTACAGGTGACCACCTTTCTTCCCTCCGCTCCTGCCTGTTCATCCGTCACCCCTCAGCCCATCTCCGCGCCACGCCGATCCGTCTCCCTTGAAACATCCCCCCCTCCTTCCCCAGCAAGCATCCGTCCACCTCTAAGAAATACGCAGCATCGTGAAGCAGCCATCCACCTCCACCTATCTGTCCACAAATCTGTCCGTCTGTCCTCCATAAAGCATCCAACCAGCTCCCTAAAACCCATTCCTCTTTGTGTGGACGCAGCTCCTCTTCATCCCTCTCTCCTTCCTCTTGCCTTCTCCCCACGCATTTCCCCCTCTGTCCATCCCTCTCAGCCCTGTCTAGCTGTCTTTGCGCCGGCCAGCCCCCCGTGGGCCGTGGGGCACATACCGACCTCGAGGCAGCCTCCCACCCCAATGAGGAGCCCAGCCGAGTGGTAGAGCGGCAGCGTCGTGTACACGACGTCGTTTTCTCGTAGGCCGCACATCCGCGCCAGGTTGGCCACCATCATCACCTTCATCTCTGTGATCACTGCAGCTTTGGGCAGCCCTGGGGGTGGGAAATGTGCTGGTTGGAGGTGCCATGGAGGAAGGGAGGCTCTGGATGGGGGTGAAGGTGGTGGGTCTTCTTTCCTGGAGGACTTTAGAGCCTTGCTGAGAGCCATGGGGAAGCTGGTGCAGACGGATTTGTGTGTGTTGGGATCTTATTGATGCGGTTGGGCTGGGGAGGTTCTGGCCTCTCTGCCCCAGTGGGAACACGGAGGCTCCCCGTTCCTCATAACACCCAACGTGTGGGGCGCAGCCAAGAGGAACCTGAGCCAGATGGACTCACGACGATCACAGAATCAATTACAGGGGTTGGAAGGGAACCTCCAGAGATCATC